CGCTGCTCCTCTCATATAAAGCGCTTCCCAATGCCGGAGGAAACATTGAATCACAGCTTCAGAGGAGAGTCGAGCACCATCCACTGATCTCTCTCACAGTGCTCTTCAGCCACCAGCTGCTCAGTCAAAGTCATCTCTGATTGAGCTTTTACTTCGCTTTAAATTCATCAACGAAAGAAAAACTCTAGGTCACATTCGCGCCCGAGAAACAAAGTTTGAGACGAAGGGAAGCTGAAGTTTTGAGAGCGCACATGGCTGCTCTGATAAGCGCGTATTCGTCCTGGCCGGAGAGCTTTGAGAGCTCCGCGGGAAATGCGGACGTACCTGACGGACACACCTCCCACAGAGCTCCCGCGGACAAGGTGTCGGAACCGCGTATCAGGAGACCCATGAACGCCTTTATGGTGTGGGCCAAAGACGAGCGCAAGAGACTCGCAGTGCAGAACCCTGATCTCCACAACGCGGAGCTAAGCAAGATGCTGGGTAAGACATTATCAATACTATTTGTGTAATAATCATTATTATTATTATTAACAACTCATATTTATTATTATTATTATTAGGCTATTACAGTAGGAGATTTTTATTAATATCACCGGCAAGTTTTGTGAGGCTTCATCTTCTGTTACAGAAGATTCAGTTTTGAATCAGTTCTGTTCAGTTTTGTTTTGTTTTTATGTATCGATTGCAGAAAGTGGGATCTTTAACATCTTCCAAACTAATTAGACAAAAATGAAAAGATGTAAGTATTTTTTTTTTTGGAAGCTTGAGAAGCGTAAGGCACACAGAGAGCGTGAAACTGTTCGAGACGAACTTGAACTGAAACTAAACTGAAATAAATCACAGTGAGATGAGGTACATCTTTAAATTGTATTTGGTTGTATTTAGATCAAGAGCGCATATTATCATTTAACACTTATGAGAGACTTTTTTTTCTCCAATCATAAATACTATATAAATCTGAGTTTATATAAAATATAAAAATAATTTCAATATTTAAACTATTTAAAAACAATAATAGAAAATAATTAATAGAAACAATTTCAAATTCATTAATTTGAAATCAGTATGATCTTTGGGTTTGTTTAAGAAATAACTGAAAGAAAAGTGTAAAACTTCTTGGGATAACGAATTAAAAAGACGTTTTTTTGTATGTGAGTATATTTTTAAATCAGTTTTTATACTGTTATACATTATTTCAGTTGTGCTAAATTTGCAGGCCTGTTTTAACAGTTATTTTAATGTATTTATTTCTTTTTGCTGCTCTAATTTTTCAAATTCTTTCAAGTATTCCTAAAAGCTAAAAATGATAAACTCAGTATAATTACTGCCAATATTATATTTCAAACATTATAAAATGAATGCCAAGCTACAAATAATGTACCTTTAAAAGATTGAAAAACTATGGTGCAAAAAGATATATATGTTAACTGGCATTATAAGCAATTATACTAGCTGACGATTATTTATTTGTATTATTTCTGTTGAAATATTAAAAAAATGGTTATGAAGACATTATTTAATTTAGCTTTGTTTGCTGTACAATATATAAGCAGACAAACTAACAGTTTGTAAACTAATAATGCATTTAATGATTTTGTGTTGGTGCTAATGTGATTGTAAATGGAATAACTAACTGGGCAATCTCAAAAACTCCAAACTGATCCTTCAAAAATATAGTATTAAGTCGTATGCTCCTGTTTTTTTCCCCCTCCAACAGGAAAGACATGGAAAGCTTTAACTCCACCACAGAAGAGACCATATGTGGAGGAAGCGGAGCGGCTGAGGGTGCAGCACATGCAGGACTACCCCAATTATAAATACCGTCCCCGTAGGAAGAAGCAGCTGAAGCGCATCTGTAAACGCGTGGACCCTGGCTTCCTCCTGACCACCCTCGGCCCCGATCAAAACTCCCTCCCAGATCCCCGAGGCTGCTGTCACCCCCTCGATAAAGACGACGAGAGCGCTGTGAGTG